CATCTATTAGGGGTGGTTTCGTCATTAAACAATCAAAATGCAATTACTACACGTTATGTGTGGTCCATTTTTGTTTTTATGCATGCTCGTAGCATTTTCCTATGTATATGGAAAATGTTAGAAGCCTTAAGTATTTTATCAAATATTTTATGAGTGTAAGGCTTATATTATGTGAGTTTTACATTTATATGATATTTAATAGAATTTTTGATAAAATATTTGAGATTCTTACAATTATTATATGTATATTGATGTGAATTTATCTTTTCTTAATCAATGAATCTGTTTGTTTTCAGAGGTAGAATAGAGGAGATTCGTAGTGAGGGAATTAATATTAAGGGGATTGATAGTTAGGGGATTAAGTAAAATTGTAGTTTTGATAATAATTGTTGGTGTAGGGATTGTTAAATTATTTTTATATAAAATAAATATAAAATAATAAAAAAATAAAAAATGAGAAATTTATTAGAAAATCCCTTTTCAAGTGTTTGTATCCTAATTAGTCTATAAGATATTCTTATATTCTAATGAATCCTATTATTTGGACATTTGATTTACTAAATCTTAATTCTTATATTTAAGGCATTTTATAGACATTTCTACCTTTACAAATATTTTTTGAACGCTTAGCAATTTGGTGATGTAAGCATTCATATTTTACAATGTGAATATTCACATTAATGTGTAAATGTTAATATCGACAATGTGAACATTACATTGACATATTAACATTCACATTGACGGTGTGAACATTCACATCACGAACATTCATAATGTAAATGTAAATATTATTAGGGATATTTTGGTAATTATGTCACCCATAGGACTTACTGGAGCATAATAAAATAATATGGATTAAATAGAATATAAGTATGTGAAAAGGGATTTGTGAAAAAGTGTCCCATAAAAAATACAAAAACATTAAACATCAATGATAAAAAAAAAAAGGACAACATGTAAAAAATAAAAAATAAAGTAAAAGAATTAAAATTATGATTTTTACTTAACAAAAATTACAAAAAACATTAATGTTCAAAAAAAAAAATGCCCAGCATGTGAAAAATAAAAAAAAATAATTTAGTGAATTATTTTCTAATACTAAGTTCAAGCCTTCATCCTAATCCCCTCCGCAAGACCCATCCTTATCCCTCTCTATCTCCTAAAACAAACACAATATTAATGGGTCTTATCTCCATCTCAATCCCAATCCCCCCTCTATTTCCCGAAACAAACGAGGCCAATAAGAATTCTAAAAAAATTGCTAAATATGTTAACTTACATCTATATAAATATTATATCCTATGAGGTCTGGTTTAATTATATTCCATCTCTTAACGTTTTGAAAATTATATTATCATCATTGTGGTTAATAGTCTTATTTTACAAACCCTCTACTTATATAAAATGCAACAATTTCTAGTAGAAAAATAAATGAAATTATATTGGGAAAAAAAATAAAGCAAAAGAAAGGACAAAAAAAAATGTAGAAAAAAAAAAGAGAAGGTAAAGCAAAATAAGAAAATAGAGAGTGCATGAGTTCAATATTTTCATTTCATATAAATAATTACAATAACAGGGGGTTTGTGTAATTTTTCAAACATCAAAGAATGATATGTATTAAATTTATATTTCAAGAGATGTAATTAAAATTTACCCATATTATATAAAATATTTAATAATTCGTATGAAAATTTTAAAATTGTGAAAACAGTCTTAAAGGTAATTGTTAACATGTTAAAATTACATTGAAATGTGTGATTTTTTTAAAATATTTAAAAAATGTATTAAAACTATAAATATTTTAATATTTTATATATCATATTTATTTTATATATAATACATGCAACGTTGATGTCATTTATTATGGATTGATAGATAATTTCAATCTTTGGTCAATTATATTTACATAATGTCGATCTTATTCTTTTAATTTTATGGGTCTTTCTAAGGACCGCTTTAAAGGTTGTCAAATATAAAATAACAATAATTTATAATTGTAATTTACTTTTTATATATTTTAAAATACTTTTATATATTTTTATGCATTTTTTTTTACACATTTTAATACCCCTTTTATAAATTTTTTAACACTACAACAACTCTTGGGGCTGTTTTTAACATTTTTCTAATTTTATTAACTCATCTACTTTGACCCAAATTTTACTTTGGTTACCATTATCTCAAATTTAATAGTTTGGTTCATATTTTTAAAATTTAGTTTCAATTTGGTAATTTCATTTAAGTTTGAGGTTAAAATCAATAATTTTGAAAAATTTATCAATTTTTTAATGTGTACACATAGAAAAAAGCAACATAAATTTAAATGTAAGGACCAAATTACAACTCAACTTAAAATGCAGAGATTAAATTACTCAAATTATAACTATAAGATTTAAAGTAAAATTTGAATCAAACCATAAAAGTGAAAAGTGTAATTAATCATTTTATTAACAATACTAGTTGATGATAATGTAAAAAATGTCATATTAACACTTAATATTTAGTTTTTATCAATGGGTAGGATTGGTAGCTCTTTACCATCACACTTGTTACAATTGTATATCACACATTGAGTTCTCAAACCCTTTTCTCCATGATGGGATGAATAAAGCTTGAGACCCCACCCCCAGTAACCCCCAATGACCCCTAGTGCTACGTGGCACCGCGTGATTGGAAAGAAAGGGAAAAAAAAAATTGTTTTTGGCCTACTGAGGGTGCTGGGGGTGCCCCCATTGGGGGTCCCTAGCACCACTGATGATGGGATAGGCCTCACCTCTGGTGTGGTGTGAATGGATAATATTTTGGAATGATTAATGATAAATTTTTTCATGTTTATGAGATATTAATGGGTTGTGTCCCAAATTAAATAAAATTGATGTATACAATAAACTCTGTCATTTTATATTTAAAATATGATGTGTCAATTTATGTGTAATGTGTTGTATGATTATGGAATAATTTGGTATAGGTTAAAGTGACTAAATTAGTATAAAAAGATAAAATAAGTTAATTTAGTTAAAAGTCAAAATGTTACATCTAAATTATAATTATTTTAATTTTTCTTTTACAGTCATCAAATCAACTACAAAAAAAATTAAAATTTATCCCAAATAAAATTTTTTCAACGTTAAAATAACATAAAAACCGGGCTACAAAATTTATCTCAAAAGAACACCCATGTATGACTTTTCGTAATTCAAGTGATATTTTACATAATAATAATAAGTTTTGTTAACAAGTGAATTAGACCCCCCAAAAAAAGTGCGTTTGGTTTCAGTTTTTTAAATTTAATTTTTTGAAAATTAATTTTTTTTCTTATATTTTTGTTTTTAGTGAATATTTTTTAAATTTTAAGCAATTTTTTTACTTTTTTAGATACACCTTACTTAGGTATAGGGGTGGGCGTGGGTCGATTGCGGCTACGGAACCTTTAATTCGCCATCCGTTCGCCAAATTGACGGATTGGAGAAAATCAATCCGCATCCATCCGCCAGATGTGGATTGAGCGGATTGACGGTTTGACGGATGGATACGAATCGGTTTGGCAGTTTCAAATTTTATAAATTTTCAACATAATTCAACTTGTGCACTTCCTAAAAAAAAAAAGAAAAGGAAAGTATTACAGTCATTGACTTAAAAAAAATATTACCATCACTGGATGCCTCATCCACTGTAAGAAAGTTTGAAACTTTAGAATATTACAATCACTGCATGCATCATCCACATACTACAATCACAGCATGCCTCATCCACATAAAGTATTACAATATGTGGTTCTTAAAATATAAAAACAATTCAAACCACCAAAACTATTAATAGAGCAGTAGTAAAGATTGCATGTCTCTGTATTGTTACATCTATATTTGTTTTTGAAAACAAAAACCAAGCAGCATATATCATATTTTCTATTTATTATTTTTAGAGGTAGATTTAAAAACAAAAAAATATAGATAAATAATACGTTTATTTTTTTCAATTCAAAAAAGATATTCAGGTTGAAAACTTTTTTTCAATAGAATATTTAAACTCTTTTTTAATTGAAAACACAAACAGAATATTTAAACAAACTGAAAATACAAAGTCTTATAAATTACTAGGGGTGCTCTGGTTTGGTGGTTCAGTTGCGGCCAAAGGAATGTCAAATCCACCATCCGTCCGTCAAATTGGCAGATTGGAGAAAATCAATCCGCAACTGTCCGCTTGTCATCACGAATCCGTCCAAAATGCAGCGGATCGATTCAGTTCGGTCGGTTTTGACGGATCGGTTTATCCGCTGCTCACCCTTACTTAGATGTGTCTAAATAATAAAATATTTGTGAAAAAATATTTTAAAAAATTAATAAATACACAAAAATACGAAAAATATACTAAATTTTCATATTTTTTGGTATTTAGTATATTTTTTAAAGAATTTTTTTTATAAATATTATATTTTTTAAGTGTATTTATTTTAAGTATGTCTAAAAGTTAAAAAAATTACTTAAAATATAAAAAAAAAATCATTAAAAATATTAAAATATGAAAAATAAAAAATAAAATTTTATGAAAATCGTTTTCTGAAAACTATAATTAAACAAGCAATGATATGCTTTTTATGAATTTGAAATTGGCCGTTTGGAAAAAAAGATTTATACTAGTTAAAAAGTTTTTTTTTAAAAATATAAATTATCAAATTATTATTTATATTTTTTTACACGTTATTTTATAAAAAATAAAAAAAATAAGTGACCCGACAGCAACAATCTTGTCATGAGATTAGTAATTTAATCTCGATATTTTGAATTTCTCGCCACGGCGGCGTTGGTCTATAGAAACACTCACATGTACACCCGTTTTCTGCGGTTACGCTTCGTCGCAACCAGATAAGAGTCCACCGTCAATCCAACGGTTTATCTTTCTTCACCTACACGTGTCCATCGATTATACCGTCAATGACAATCAGTACACGCGGAAAATACGAACCTTTTGGGTTCCAATTTAACCTCACTGAACTGATCATCTATCTCATCATAAAACCCTTATCCTCTCTCTCTCTCTCTCTCTCTCTCTCTCTCTCCTGCAACTCAAGAACTTCGATCCAAGCTCGTTAATGGCGTCTCAGATCTGAAACCCCGAAACTCAGACACTGTTTAAATTTACTGTTTTAACCTTGGAGATTTGAAGATTTGCGATCTGACCTAATCGGCAATGGCGTACTCGTTTCCAGAGGAGGTGTTAGAGCATGTATTCTCCTTCATACAGCTCGACAACGACCGAAACGCCGTCTCTTTGGTGTGCAAGTCGTGGTACGAGATTGAACGTTGGTGCAGGAGGCGGATCTTCGTTGGGAACTGCTACGCTGTGAGCCCTAGGATCATTATCAGACGGTTCCCAGAGGTCAGATACGTGGAGCTCAAAGGGAAGCCGCATTTCGCGGACTATAATCTGGTCCCTGAGGGTTGGGGAGGGTATGTGCATCCTTGGATCGTTGCCATGGCCAGGGCTTACCCTTTGTTGGAGGAGATTCGGCTGAAACGCATGGTCGTTACTGATGAGACTTTGGAGTTGATATCGAGTTCGTTCAGCAACTTTAAGATCCTTGTTTTGTCTTCATGTGAGGGCTTCACTACTGATGGATTGGCCGCCATTGCTGCCAATTGCAGGTGAGCTTTCTTTGTTTTCTCTGCTGTGAAAATTTAGGGGAAAATAATAAGCAAATAAAGTTTGAATCTTAGGTCTAATCCTTTCTTGACTAAAGGAAAAGTGAAAGAATAAAGTTTGAATCTTGAAAATGTCTCTTACTTAAGTCGTGGCCAATGTGTTTGATTTCTAGCTCCTCACTGCGTCTCTGGAAAAGAAAAGAAAAGAAAAGAGAAATTAGAATGTTGTGTATTGTATTGACTAGTTAGTAGCTTGTAGGTATTTTTTAGATGAAATATTTAAATTTAAAAAATGTTTCTTTCTTTAGACACGTTTTCTCAGCAACCAAACAGGCTATTCTTAAATTTTGTGGACTAGGTTCTGTGTTTACGAGTGCTGAAGCTAAACATGGCTTTTTTGGTAGTTTAACTGGTTAATGTGACAGTTATTATGACAAAAAAAAAAAAAAAAAAAAACGATCCTTTTTTGTTTTGCACGTTGAATGCCCTTGTTATTTCCGTGAATTTTTGTATGATCGTTTTTCAGCCAATTTTGATTCGATTGTGGTTGCTTTCTTTCTCGTTTTATTTCCTTCATTAATGTTTCAAAATTTTCAGCCAGTCTTAGGTTCATTTCTTCTTTCTGTTTGCTTTCCCTTTGTTTTCTTTCTAAATATATCTTGTCAATCTTGTCATGGAAATGGCAACTGTAGAAGATCTCGACGAGATTGTATGAATTGCGTTTAGTTTAATCTTGTCATGGAAATGGTAACTGCAGAAAATCTAGACAAGATTGTATGAATTGCCTTTAGTTTGCTACTCTCTCTCTCTCTCTCAATGGACTGCAAGCTAGGGTGATTTCCAGATTTTGGTTTTTTGATTCTTGGACAATGTGGGTGCTTTCTTGTTCCGTATAAGATTCTTTTTCTCTTTACTTACATCTTATAGTAAGATGAGTGGATCTTCTTTCTTTTGGCTTCTTTGAGGATTTATGTAGTTGTCACTTCAAGATTCTTTGTGAATTGAGGTTCTGGTGGTTCACTTGTGGTCCTGGGGTAGAACTTGGAACTTTATTTGCTATACATTTGATGTAAAATCTGTCTTTGTGTGGAAAATGGTTAATTGGAAAATATGAAACAAGTGGAGAATAAAGACTTACTTTTCTTGTAATTGTTGCTAGCCAAGAAAAAAAAAAAAAAAAAATTCTTGAGAAGGATTGTCTGGTCTTTGTCAATGATAGCAACTGAGTTTGTTGAAAGTCTGAATTTAATAATTTATTTTTTCCTCAGATGTTGCATTTTTTTAAGGGCTTGTTTCTTGAATTACTATTATGATTGAAAAATGTGTTAATTCTTGTAACTGTGTCAGATATAGCGTCTCCACTTTGCAAATTGAATAATTATTTGTGTGTACAGAAACCTCAGAGAGCTGGACTTGCAGGAGTGTGAAGTGGATGATCTGAGTGGGCACTGGCTTAGCCATTTTCCTGATACCTGCACATCATTGGTGTCCCTTAACATTGCTTGCTTAGTCTCTGAGGTGAGTTTTTCTGCTCTGGAGCGCCTCGTGGCTAGGTGTCCCAACCTGAGGAGTCTTCGTCTCAACCGTGCTGTACCCCTTGAGAGGCTCCCTAATCTACTCCGCCGAGCCCCTCAGCTGATTGAGTTGGGGACTGGTGCCTATTCAGCTGATCTCCGATCTGATGTCTTTTCAAGCCTAACAGAAGCTTTTTCAGGATGCAAGGTTCTCAAGGGGCTATCTGGGTTTTGGGATGTGGTTCCAACCTACATTCCAGCTGTCTATTCTATCTGCTCTGGGATAACTAGTCTGAATTTAAGTTATGCCAATATCCAAAGCCCTGATCTTGCGAAACTTGTTAGCCAGTGCCATAATTTGCAGCGTCTATGGGTATGTCTATACTTCTATTATTGTTAATTCGTTTATGCCTATAATCATTTTAATTTTTTTGGGATAAATGAATAATTTTTGTATTTGCTTGTGATGTCAAAACATTGTAAAGTTAATGGGCTTTCAGATATAATACATTAGTTGCCCCGTAACCAGAAATGATGAACCTGCCTGAAATATGACTAATAATAGTTGGATGATCATTGTATTCGAGGCCATACCTTTTGGTTTATTATCTTAACCCGAATCTAGTTGAAGTGAGATGGTTTGGACATTTTTGGGTATATCAATAATCTTCGTCACTTGGCTAATGATCGTATTTATCTTTTTAGACTGTGCTTTGGATTCAAATTCGGATGCAATTCTTTACCTATTGCACCACTGCATTTTTAAACTACTGAAGACACGACTGCAGGTACTGGATTACATTGAAGACAGTGGCCTTGGTGCCCTTGCTGCATCTTGCAAGGATCTGCATGAACTGAGGGTGTTTCCTTCTGATCCATATGTCCCAGAACCAAATGTATCCTTGACAGAACAAGGCCTTGTCTCTGTTTCAGAGGGCTGCCCTAAGCTTGAGTCAGTCCTGTACTTCTGTCGCCGAATGTCAAATGATGCATTAATTACCATTGCTAGGAACCGCCGTAATCTGACTCGATTTCGTCTTTGCATCCTTGAGCCTCATACTGCTGATTACCTAACCCGGGAGCCGTTGGATGCTGGTTTTGGAGCTATTGTTGAGCACTGTAAGGGATTGCGGCGCCTATCCGTATCTGGTCTTCTCACTGATCGTGTGTTTGAGTACATTGGGACCCATGCTAAGAAGCTAGAGATGCTATCTATTGCCTTTGCGGGTGATAGTGATTTGGGCCTCCATCACGTGCTGTCTGGTTGTGAAAGCCTGAAGAAACTGGAGATTAGAGATTGCCCCTTTGGAGACAAGGCTCTCTTGGACAATGCTGCGAAGCTGCAGACAATGCGATCCCTTTGGATGTCCTCTTGCCTAGTAACTTATGGAGCATGTAAACTGCTAGGTCAGAAGATGCCTAGGCTTAACGTTGAAGTTATCGATGAGAGGGGATCCCCAGATTCAAGGCCGGAAAATTGCCCTGTCGAGAAGCTTTACATATATAGGTCAACTGCGGGGCCAAGGCTTGACATGCCTGGTTTTGTGTGGACAATGGGTGCTAACATGCTGCATTGAGACTGTCATGAGTTTTCTTGAGAGACCTTGGGTCTCATCAATGATTATAGCAGGTATATCCCCTATATATATGCTACTCATCATTTCGATTTGTTTAATTTAATGAGGCTTTATATAGTTGCAGTGCCAATTGAAGTGGGAACAAGTTATTTGAGGGTATAGAGAGGCTTGAGAGCTCGTCTGCCATCTATTTTACACTTGGCTGAGCTATTTGTTGCGATTAATAATGAGGATAACCCCCCTGTTATTGTAATGTGTATCGACTAGAGTTGTCATTCAGTTTGGATTAGTTAACCATGTATGCTATATGTGGACTCTTGCATGTCTATACGGTTTGGTTTGGTTTGGTTTGGTTTGAGTTGGTTGCACCGGAAATGTTGAACTTCTTGACTCAGTGTGAAGTTATCATTTGTCTTTTGGAATAATGAAATTTATGTTTTCCACTTTTATCCAAGAACAAGAAAAAAAAGTTAATGTTTGTCATGCACCTTTGATATACTATCAGTTATTCTTGTCCATGTCATTTTATTAATTATCTTTTTCTAATTTCACAGCTGAATTCTTTTGTTTTTGTTTTTTAGTTTTATCAATGTATTGGTGTCTATTCCATTGAATAAAAACAATGTGGTAGCAAATTTCTTACTAAGAATTTTGTGGCATCGCAATCAAACAGATTTTGGTAACAAACTTGTTACATGACCTGTATTTTTTATGGGATTTGGCACAGAAATCATATATTGATATCATACAAATTAATTGTTACTTATCTTTACTACAATAACAACAGTCCTAGTATTGAATGTTTAAGAAATCAAATGAATTTTGACTTGATAAGATGTTCTATGTTTAGTTTTTGATTTCAAATCAGATCCTAGTTTGTTCAGATTACTTTCAAGGGTTAACCAAGATGATGTGATTAGGCTGAGTGAGTGCATTTTGTTTTTGAGACAATTCTCTGTTGTCACAAAGAACTCGTCTGTTCTGCCTCAAGCACTCTCCTCCATGAATTGAATTCCTTTGATGGAAGTTGTGGATAGTTTGATTACAGTGATATGCAATTCTTTTGATACTCGGAAGAAATGCAATAATTATTTATTTTTATTATTTTTTTCAGATAATATTCTCCATTTAGGAGTCATTACTACTGCAAAAGTTTCATGGGTTAGAGTAGGAGTCATTATTAGATCTTCTCTTTCCATGCTGAGTTCGTAAAAAAAAGATTCAGTTGAATTATGAATACAAAAAAAAAGATAAATAAATAATGAGACACAGCTCGTGAGATAAAATGTGGGTCGTACAAGTGGGGTTGATTATATGAAAATGGCAGGTGCATTATTAATCAAATCTTTTTGATCAGTCTTTCAACATTTGCTGTTGTTTTTTTGACCCCTCTCTCTCTTTCAAATTTGGAGCAACGTTTAAGAATTAATGCATCTAGGATTGCAATCTTGGTGCTTGAATAACACTGTTAAAAACTCTTTCAAGTCACCTAAAAAGTAAGAAGTTCGAGCGGATGAAATATCGGTGGTCCTTTAAGTGATATACTAATTTTGCCAACAAACTAACAAATTTAATTACTTAAAATGTTGACAAAAGAAGTGTTCTGTAAAACAGTTTGAGAAGAATATTATGTTTGTATTTATAAAATAATTTTTTTGTTTGAAGGATCTGTGTTTTATAAATGACTTAACTTTCCCTTCTCTCTCCAGCCCGGGGAGGAGAGAGAGAGAGGCCTGGACTGCTGTGCCTCGTGAGAGATTCGGTAACATATATTGAGCAGTGTCTGTCTACAAGCTTTTGCAAACAGTCTTCTTTTGCTTTACCTGAAGACCAGTGCTGTTTGCAAACAGTCATCTTTTGCAGGTGATATGCTGATTCAGATTTATTTACATAAAAATAAGGAAAAGTAAAAAGCGGACATGCAGGGAGAGAAACAGAGACAACACACTGACTAGAGAGACTTGAGTCCAATTATAGAAAGTGGGGAAAATTATTTTTTTGCTCTTAACATATGTGGAGGTAATGTTTTAATTTAATTTTTATTAATTGAAAGAAACCTTATTTGGTTTGTATTTGAGAAACATGTTTTGAAATAAAAAGTACGAAAATTTGTTTGGTTTGATTTTTTTTCAAAAGATGTTTTGAAAAATTATTTTGAGAGAGAGTTTTGAAAAAAATGATTGATTTGATGTGTATGAGAGAGAGATTTGTTTGGAAAATTTGTAAACCAAACAAGTTTTGGAAAAAAAATTTGGAAAAATTTGTTTGGTTTGATTACTTTTGAAAAATTATTTGTAGAGAATTTTTTCTAAATTTTTTAAAGAAACACAAACCAAACAAGGCCATAGGACTTATTATTATTATTATTATTTTTGGCATTGATTTAGACCCCTTAAAACACCCACCCCCACAATCCCCTCACACACATGGAGGTTGCGGATTGGGTGAGAAGAAAAAAAAAAAAGAAAAGTTGACCAATCAAAACTAAAGAGGGAGATTAAGGATTAAAAAAAAAAGGGGTGAATATTAAAAAAAAATAAAAATTGACCAATCAAAATTAAAAATCCTCCATGAATTATTATTTACAAATCATTTCCCCATTCCAAACCTTTATTCATTTTTTTTGGTCTCTTTTAAAGACATGAGTTAATATTTATCCGCTAATAAATAGTATAAAGCAATATTTCAAAATCAAGTAATAATTTCTCAGAAAGTAGTGAGGTATCTGTAGTCTGTGGCTCTTGTCATACGATTATCCTCTACTGGTATGGTTGATAATGCTGTGCCGTGTAAATGTGCACAAACATTAAGGCTATGTTTGGTTTGTATTTGGGAGATGAATTTTAGAAAAAAAAATTTAAAAAATTGTTTGTTTTGAGTTTTTCTCAAAAAAAAATTCAAAATTACTTTATCTCTTTCACACATCAATAAATTACTTTTTCTCTCTCCTCTCCTTCTCAATCACTTTTTCTCTCGCACACATCTACTCAAATTCTCTCAAAATGTCAAATCATTCCAAACTCTCAAAAAAATAACTCTCCCAAAATATATAACCAAACAAACCAAAATTGTTTTTAAACTCTCTCTCTCCAATTTTTTTTTCAAAAATAATTTTCCCAAAAACAAACCAAACAAGCCCTAAGGCTTTGTTTTGTACGTGTTAAAATAACACATATTATTTTAATATATTATATTATTTAAATTACAATTATCTTATTTGAATCATATTATCAACTATCTACCAAATTGTTTCAAACTTAATTCATATTTCACGTTTTTTTTTAAGTCAAAAAATATACTAATTTAGCACCTTTTAAACAATCCCTAAAGCTTTGTTTGAGAAGTGAAAAAAAATAGTCAAAAAATTATTATAAATTATTGCATCTCTCCATTTTTTACATATTTTTTCATAAAAATTTAAAAAAATCAATTGACTTTTACATATTTTTTCATAAAAAATTAAAAAAATCAATTGAGATAGTCAATTTTCAAACGGACACTAAGACCTCGTTTGGGAACAGGCTAATTTAGTAACTTTTTGACTATTTGGCTAAAATATGAGCTAAAAAAAATAGTATGTTTGTGATGACTTTTTGACTTTTTATGAAAAGAAGTGTAAAAAGTAGAGATAAAGAGAATCTTTGACTTTTTGATATGAATTATTGACTTTTGACTAATTTAGTAACTTTTTGACTTTTTGACTAAAATGGAAGGTTCCCAAACGAGGCCTAGGCCGTCGTTTGGCATGAGGCTTTTTTTAGGTTAGGGACTAATTTAGTTACAAAAAGATAATAGGTTACAAAATTAATAAGATAAAATATCATATTAAAATCATAATCATTTCATTTTTTCTTTCACAAAAGTTAAAAAAAAATTAAAAAATCCAACCCACATGAATTTTTTAATCTCAAGTTAAAATAGCTAAACAATTAAAAAGCCAACCTACTTCTCAAATGAACCCTAAAGTCTCGTTTGTCAACTATATATTTTAACAAAAAAATTAAAAATCATTATAAATTATTACATCACTATCTATATTTTTACATATCTTTTTATAAAAAATTAAAAATTAATAAAATAATATATTTCTAAGCGACACCTACCTATGTCCGGTGTACCATCTAGTGGCCCACATATTTGATTGATGTTTGGCGACAATTTTGTCTTTTTCATTTTTCTCTTTTAGTGCAAATTTGTGAAATTTAGTGGTTGTATATTTTTTGATTTTTTATCAAATATGAGTTGGGTATAGATTGGATTTGAAGTGATGTGATAAAGAGATAATGTGACTTAAATAAGATGGTGTGATTTAAATAAGATAGTAACTTTTTAACTTTTTAAATTTTTTTAAGATGTCAAACTTGACCTAAGTCAAAGTTTTTACGTTTTTGTGTCTATCAAAAGAATTAGATTATGTTTGAATAACAAATTAAAAAAATTTATTTTTTTGTTTTTTGGGTTAAACAAATCCAAAAAAAAAGCACAGCAAAAAAAAGGTCAATTTTTAGTGGATTTTTGTTTCGGAATCTTTTTGTTTGTTTTTGACTTTTCTAATTTAGTAGGATTTAAAAGTAATTTTTTATTTGAAAAAAATTATAAAAAGTTAATTAAAGAAAAAAATTACTAAATTTTTTTTTCCAAATTTTATGCATTGGGAGAATAAGGATTTTTGTTTTCTGACTTGCTCTTAATACATCAATAAAATAAAATAAAAAAGAAGCAACATAACCAAATGACACTGATTTAAGTTTTGGAATAGGGAAATGATTTGTAAATAAAAAATTTATATAGAAATACGTTTCGAATTATGTGTCAATGTATAAAAATTCTAAACAAAATTTCATTTGTTATTACTCTTTGAAATAAAATGCTTAAACGTTTTGTGTTTTTGTTTTCTTTTAACCATTTAGCCTCCGTTGAGAAGTGGGTTGACTTTTTGACTTCTTTTTTGGCTATTTTAGTCTGGGCTTAAAAGCTTGGTTTGGGAAGAACTTTTTGGCTTTTTGACTTTTTTGAATTTTTTTGTGAAAGAAGAATGTAATGATTATGGGTTGGATGTGATGTTTTGTTTGTTATGGCTAAAATAGCCAAAAAAACCCAAACCATGGCTTTCCAAACGAAGCCTTAGTTGCCTTGTAGTTGAGGAGTACAATTCAGGGTTGGTTTGAGATGTTCTAAAAAAGTGCACTTTTTGACTTATTGGCTTATATGGGTTGGGTTTGGGTTGAGTTTGATGTGATGTGTTAGAGAGGTGATATGATTTAAATAAGTTGATGTAACTTAAATAGGATAGTGACTTTTTGACTTTTTGTATTATTTAAGTCATGCCAAACTTGACCTCAGTATAACAATAATATTATGTCATCGTTAATGTGTATTATTACTAATCAATAAAATAACTATTCATGAAATAGTGATCCCTACTACTCTCGATGAAACTTTATATTTTGAGATAATTATACAACTATCACAAATACATAGCAGGAG